GTATCATACATCTTAGCAACCTTAGCATATAATTTTTTCCCCTTTCTTTAAGTCAAGAACTTTACCTTTTCACTTAAAGGAAGCACTTTACGACTTCTCTTTGGCATATCCAAATTGCCAGCATCACTACTCTTGCACTTTGGGGTCATTATTAAGTAAGGGTTACTGAACACAATCACAGTCAGGAAATAACCAAGATGGCCACTATAACAGGCTAGCAGCATATTATTGCATGGATACACTGGACAAAGGGATGATTCATGTCCTGGGCAGGATGGAGTGGGTAGGACAACATGAGATCTCATCATACTATTCAGACAGTACATAATTTAAAACTTATAACTTATAACTTATTTATTTCTGGAATTTTCTATTTAATATTTTAAAACCAGAAGTGACCATGGGTAACTGAAGCCAGGAAAAGTGAAACTGCAGACCAGGGGGGACCACTGTTATGCACGGCACAAGGGCCTGCCCAAAAGTACAAGCAGAGCTCAAATCTAGCACGAGTTCTCCATCCCAAGCCCTGCAATTACAAATCTGAATCTGCTTAAAGGAAGGGGTACCTTCTATTACACACAAATGGACCAGTGATGGCCCTGCTGACCACTACAATGGACACTGAAAAAATGAAAAGCGATAAAAGACGATTAGAGTACTCTTGTTTCTCTTAAAGGTAATTATCACTATCAATCCAGAATTGAGTACAAGCGTTTCTGCTATAACTCAATATATGCAGTCCCAAATAATACCGTGTCCTATAAAATAGCTGAACTTACAGAGGGAACAGAATTAGAGCCAAACAACTAGAAATCTATGGAATTTTAAAATCTGAGTCCTAAAAAAACAAGAATCTTTATAAAAATATTAGTACAGTTTAAGTTTCCACTGGCATTTGTATTAATAAGCCTGTCCATCCTTTAAAGCTTCATATCCTGAACTCATGCTTCTTCCTTTGTGAAAAGAGAGAGAGAAGATATTCACTTCTAATAGAGACCAGGTTAATAAAAATTTAAAATAGCTTCTAGAGGTAGCTTTCTTGATCAATTTCTTCTTAACAAACGTGAACTATCCTCACATCTACTTCAACTGAACTTAGAACTTCCTCTGATCTTTTATAGTGGAATATATAGCAATTTTTAAGCCAAAAAATCAGTACTTTATTGCAAAATTGGAAGGTAATTTTCAGCATATTTCTTATACTACTAAGTTGTGAAAAAGCTTTCCCCCTCATCATTCTATACATTAATGTGCTTACAGTGGTTTGGAAAACACTCCAAACCAAATTCCACACTATTGACATCTTTCCTCTATATGCCAAATGCTAAAAGAAGTTTTTCAGAGAAAAGGAAAATTATATAGGCTTGAATAGGGTTCTATATAAAGAGAAAAAAAACACTGGAAAATAACTTTTTATTTTTCTTATCTTTAATGGATCTAATTGATAATGGAACTAATTATTTGTTCAAAGTAATAACAACAATATAAGCAAGTTTGTATTTGTGTGTATCAGTGTGTGTGTGTGTGTGTGTGTGTGTGTGTGTATGCTTGTGTATAAGTAAAAATGATACAAGGGACAGAAGAATTAGGATTATTTTGTTATTATAAGGTACTTGCACTACCCAGAAAGAGATATGTTATATAAAAGAAAACTTGGACTAGCTGAATATGTACTTTGCAAACTCTAGGGTAACTACTAAAAAAAGAGGGGAAAAAGGGAATTGATATGCTAAAAATAGGAGAGAAATAAATCACATAAAAGTGTTCAATTATAACTACAAAATGTAGAAAAAGAGTGGAAGACAAAAATAAGAGCAAAAAATGGGCAACAACAACAAAAAAAACCAACAATGACAAATATGGGAGATATTAATTTACTATATTAATAATTACTTTAACTAAAAGACAGAAATTGTCAGAGTGGATCAAAAAACAATACCCAGCCCTGACCAGCTTGGCTCAGTAGATAGAGCGTCAGCCTGCGGACTAAAGGGTCCCAGGTTCGATTCTGGTCAAGGGCATGTACCTTGGTTGCAGGCACATCCCTGATAGAGGGTGTACAGGAGGCAGCTGATCAATGTTTTTCTCTCACCCACGTTTCTAACTCTGCATCCCTCTCTCTTCCTCTCTGCAAAAAAATCAATACAATATATTTTGGAAAATAAAACAAACAAGACAAGTATATGTTGTCTTCAAGAAACTCACTTTAAATATAAAACATACAGATTCAAAGTAAAGGGATAAAGAGAGTTATGCCAGTCTAACACTAAAGCAGGTAGCTATATTAATTTCATTCAGGGCAGACTTCAGGGCAAGCAAAGATGGATAAAGCAGGACATTACATAATAATAAAAAGACCAACAGTCCAAGAAGGTAACAATCCTTAATGTCTATGAGTATAACAAGAGAACATCAAACAATGTGAGGCAAAAACTGACAGAATTGCAAGGAAAAATGAACTAATCCACTATGACAGTTAAAGACTTTAACACTCCTATCAGAAATGCACAGAGCCAGCAGGCAGAAAGTCAGTATAGTTACAGGTAAACTCAGCAACACCATCAATCAACTGAAAATAACTGACTCAAGAGCTTAGTACATCCAACAACAGCATATTACACCTTCTTCTCAAGCTAACATAAAAGTTATCAAAAGAGACCATGTTCTGGGCCCTAAAACACACTTGAACAATGTTTAAAAAAAAAAAAAAAAAAAACCCATATAATGTCTGCTCTCAGACTACAATAACAAAAACAAACTGGAAAATCCCAAAATATTTGGAGATTAAACAATATACTTCTAAGTAGCACATGGGACAAAGAAGAAATCTTAACTGAAATTTTAAATTATTATGAACTTAAATGCAAATACAAATCATCAAAATGTGTGGGATGCAGTGAAGACAATGCTTATGGGGAAAAGCACAAGAGAAAAGCACAGGATGTATAGTATTAAAATGTATATATTAGAAATAAGAAAGATCTAAAAATCAATAATCTGAGTTTCTACCTTAAGAAGAAAAAAAGCAAATTAACGCCAAAGTATAAGAAATAATGAAAATTAGAGCAGAAATCAATGAAATCGAAACTGTGAAAGCAATTAAGTAATTAAACCAAAAATGTGGTACTTTGAAAACATCAATAAAATCAATAAGTCTCTAGCCAGGAAACTAAAAAAAAAAAAAAAAAAAAAAAAAAAAAGATGACAAAAATAATATCAGAAATGAAAGACTAGAAATCCCCTAAAAGACTATATGAATATAAGAATAAAGGAAAATAAACCACTTAAATACACCAACTTGATAATTTAAATGAGGCAATTCCTTGAAAGGCACAATTTATCAAAACACACACAAGAAGAAATAAACAATCTGAATAGTTTTATACCTATTAAAGAAATTGGATCAATAATTAATAACATCCCAAAACAGAAACACTAGGCCCAAATGAGTACACTGGTAAACTCTACCAAAAATTTAAAGAAATTTGACCAAGTCTCTACAATCTCTTTCAGAATATAGAAACAGAGATACTATTTCTTGACTCATTCTATGAGGCCAATATTACCCTAATACAAAAATCAAAAACATTACAAGAAAACTATAGATACATATGTTTCATAAAGATAAATGTAAAAATCCTCCACAAAACATTAGCTATATCAAATTCAACAATCTATAAAAAGATATATATGCTATGACCAAGTGAGATTTATCATAGGTATGCAAGGCTGGTTCAACATTCAGAAATCAATTATTTATTCCAAAGATCAATTAATATATCATATATAAAATAAATACAATTCAGTCAGAAAAAATAGTATGTGCGCAATAACTATTAACTCCCACATTCAAACAAATTTCAAATACCGGTACAGTGATAACAGAACACCAAAAGACTGTGCTTTACATTTTATTCCCATCTGTAAAAATTAATAAGTTTTTTTTATTAAAATATAACGTGTTCAGCTTAATTCTATAAGATTCCCATTCATCTTAGAGAATTAGATAAACATGTTGAACTTCTTCCTCCCCAAATGCCACGTATACACAGTATTTTGCATCAATTTAAATTCAGGAACATTAACAGATTCCCTGGAAGCTAGATTGAAAACTATGTTCTATCTAGCTATTTAAATAAAAGTAATTCAAATTTTTTAAAAATTTGCAATTTAGTTTCTTAGTTGTTCTGGTCACGTTTCACTAAGTGCTCACTGGCCACACGAGGCTGGTGCCTACTGGATCAGACAGATATAGAGCATCCCATCACCTCAGAAACTTTCCTCAGCTAGAGCTGTTCTGGAATATTAACATAAGAAAAACTATTTTGTTCTGGTTTTTTTTGCTTTCATATCTAGAAACCTCTCTTTGAAGTAGGTTAGATTGCAAGAGGATAGAGGCCATGAATATTTAGACTCATTAGGGTCCAGCACATGATAAGCATGAACAGGTATCTAAAACCTGACATTACAATTTGTTTTGGCTACATTAATCCCACAAAAATTTACTAAGCTGGTGAAGACCAGAGCTGAAAGCTTTGAATACAAATATATAAATAGTTAAAAATAAATGTAGCAGATCAACTCATGTGTACTCTCAACAGATAAACTTCTGAAGTCAATGAGGGCTCCCTATGTGTAGACTTTGTATTTTTTGAGTTTAGATATACATATTGGCTAGATCACTTAAGCAAAATGTTAGGCTTTGTTATAGCCTATTTTATTCAAGAATAAGAAAGATGCTTACTTATAGTCAGTTAGTTTTTATTATCCCTATACTGGTTTTTCCTAGATAACTAAGTAACTTATTTTTAAATAGCATGTATATATTCAAACATAGCAGTTTAAATAGTAACACACCTTTAAATTTTGTCAGTTCTAAAACATAAAAATTAAAACATTAAGCTTTTAGAAAATCTATTTTTTAAAAATATCTTGAAAATTAAAAAAAATTGCCACTATATATAGAACAGGAAAAAGTCTAATGATAATTTTGCACTTACACTGCCACATTTTTTCTAATGGCATATTCATCCAAATCGTCATCAGAGCTGCTATCAGTTGCATCAGAATCCAGACCCTCTTCAACATGAGTCAACAGCCCTGTAGCAGACAGTGCAAATCTTTGGATTTCTGCAGCTGTACACCGTGCAAAGCCATTTTTTGTATCATTCCATAATTTATTCTCGGCATTCAGTAAGTTGATATCTGGCTTAATTTCAGTGCATTTAGAAAAACTGTTATCCAAAATTGTTGTAGGTTCATGAAAATTCTTCATTTTGGGGAGCTGATGTTTCATAGAAAATTTCATTTGCTGACCATAGTGCTTAACAACATGCTTTGCCAGGAGCATCTGCAAATGTTTTTGAGTTCTTCTAGCCTGACTAAGTAGAATTTTCTGTTTGCTTATACAATTAAGTAAACGAGCATTCACTTCCTCTTCTTTTTCAGAAGCTGAGGAACTAGCAGGCCCAATTTTCTTCTGAGCACAGTGCCATAGACTCTTCTTAATCTCAGCGTCAGTAACTTTATCCAAAAGTGCATTTTTCTGGTACCATTTACAGTTTTGTAGTTGTGCTTTATCTACATTAGTGTCTTTGGTTATATTTGAATCCAAAGTAATTTTTACATCTGTCATGCACTTGCTTGTGTTATCTGACAGAGGTTCCTTTTTGACGAACTCTTCAGAATGAGAATGACAAATTTTATTGAGCTGAATGTTGCTGCCATTACACAGTATATTTTTCAGCTTATTGCAGTTGGGTTCCCCTAATTTCTTTTGTTTATAATTCTTATTGTATTTATTTAATGCAGAATTAGAACCCATTAAAAGAACAGTCTGATAATGTTTTGAAGACTGAGAGGAGCCAAAATGTTTTAAATTCACAAAACTAGTGTTAAGAGTAGGTTCAGGAGTTGGAAAGCCCAGCATCTGAGAGAAAGTGTCTCCCTTTAGCTTTGCATCCCCAGTTCTCAGGCCGTCCATGCATAACATCTTGTCAGACTCCATGGTGCTTGGCAAAGATGAAAAGCAGAGACCCTTTGTTGCTGCCTCCCTCAGAGCTGGGGTCATGGCGAATCCTGCAGACAATTACTGGAAACCTAAAGCAAAGTGAAAATGGTAATTAGATATCTAGAAAGGAGTTTTATGCTTATATGCCTTCCCAGGGCAACATTTTTAATGCTTCTGATTAAAACATGAACTAAATCAAACTCTCCCCCCCCCTCCCCCCAACGCCTAACACTATCACACTATCTCTGCTCTTTCCTAGCTCAGAAGGAATTCAACTAGCAATAAACTATTCTTCACTCTGACTATGGGCCTACACCCAAAACTCCAATTAAAGTTTCACACTACCTAGCACAGTTTAGACAAATATTTGTGAATGTAATACAGCTGACCCTTGAACAACTCAGGGGTTAGGGGCTTCAACCTCCCACACAGTCAAAAATCAGCATATCTGACTCCCCCAAAAGGATAACATAGTTGATTGACTAATATTTTGTATGTTATATGCATTCTTACAATAAAGTATGGAAAAAATGGTATTTAGAAAATGAGAGACAGATTTATAGTACCCATTCAAACATTGTTCAAAGCCCAACTGCACATCTCAATATTCTATTTTTAAACAATGTTTAGAGAGAGTCAAAAAATTTCAAACTGAAATCTGGGAATCATACTTTAAAATGTAATTCAATCCCATACTTTCAGCCGAAAGAATGAATTATCCTTAAAAATATATAGTAAAATGGCAGAAGCCCGTTTGGCTCAGTGGTAGAGCATCGGTCTGCAGACTGTAAGGTCCCGGGTTCAATTCCGGTCAAGGGCATGTACCTTGGTTGTGGGCACATTCCCGGTGGGGAGTATGCAGGAGGCAGCTGGTCGATGTTTCTCTCTCATCGATGTTTCTAGCTCTCTATCTCTCTCCCTTTCTCTCTGTTAAAAATCAATAAAATATATATTAAAAAATATATATATATAGTAAAATGATCAAAACCTCTATTTCTCATTTAAATTTTGTAATCTAAACAGTATTAATAACAATAACCAAAATATACTAGAAATGTAAGATGTGAGCTGAACTACAAACAAAAAAGTATATAATTTAACAGCTGTTAAAAATAATGTGATAATGAAAACTCGGCTAATGTGCAATACACAAAATTTTTTCCTGAAATTTTTTTTTTTCCTTATCAGTATAGAGCTGTTAATCCTGCATGGAAAATAAGGGACTGTTCCAGATGACTAAATATTTATCTCATAATTAAACAAATGTCATTGTATTTTTTCAAATGAAGAAATATAAAACCATATATTGTGAAATATGCAAAAGTTAATTTGGTACCATTAAAAATTATGCCTGAAGAGTTAGTGAAAAGATTTTAATCATTAACAATTTAAATTTTTTAAGATGCTTTGGAACTGTGATACTCCCTAATTGTTTCAACGCACATGACAGTAAACAGTCACTTAAATGGCCACACTAATATATATATGTTATGTCCCCATATAATGTGCTAGTTGTAACTCTGTATCTTTAATTCCTATTTAAAAATTAAAAACCAAAAGCTAATTCCTTGTAAAGACTAGCAAGAATAGTCAAAAGAAAAAAGAGATACAAACTCCTATGCAATCACAAAAACATATAGGTTAAAAGCAAGCCACAGACTAGGAATAAATATCTACAACACATATACTAGACAAAGAATTAGTATCCAAAATATATAAGAAACTCCTATAAATGGGCAATGAATAGAACAGTCAGGCATTTCATAGATGACAATATCCAAATAGTCATTAAACATATACTCAAGCTCACCAGTAATGAAGGAAATATCTACAATAATAAAAGCGTAATATGCTAATTAGACCACACAGCCAGATATCCTTCCAGATGAAGCTGTGGCGGGGGCTGAGGCAGAGGTGGTTAGGAGTGATCGGGTAGGCAGACGAGCAGTTAGGGGCGATCAGGCAGGCAGACATAGTGGTTAGGGGAGATCAGGCAAGCAGGTGAGCAGTTAGGAGCCAGTGGTCTCAGATCGTGAGAGGGATGTCCGACTGCCAGTTTAGGCTTGTTCCCCCAGGGTGCAGGCCAGGCTGAGAGACTACTCCTCTAGGATTTAGTAATTAGTAGTATTAATAAATACCTCAATTATTATTTTTAAAATAAATGTTACAAATACAGCAATATATAAAAAGGATGATATGTCAAAACCTATTATGATTTATTCTATAAATGCAAGACTGGCTTAACATTACAAATTTTCAAAATTAAATCATAGAAATTCATCATATTAAAAAAAAAACTAAAGAAAAAATATGATCTCAATAAAGAAAAAACATTTGCAAAATCCAAAATCTACTCATGATTAACAAAAAAATTTAGCAAATTAGGGAAAAAAGGGATATTGCTTAATTAACCTGACAAAAAAGTATCTATGCAAAAGCCTAAATGTAACTACATAATTAAAGAAAAGACTGAACACTTTTACCCTAAGATTAGGAATGAGGCAAGATGTCTTTTTCACCCCTCTTATTCATCATCATACTGGAAGTCTTAGCCAGTGGGATAGGAGAAGAAAAGAGAAATAAAAGGCATACCATACTGATTAGGAAGTAAAAATAAAAACTGTGTCTATTCACAGATGGCATAATTTTGTACACAGACCATCCCAAGGAATATACAAAAAAAGCTCCTAGATATAATGAGTTTACTAATGTAAGGTCAAGATACAAAAGTAGCAGGTAGCAGATGTAAGGTCAATATACAAAAGTCATTTATATTTCTATATACTAGAAACAAAAACCTAGAATTAGAATTTTTTTAAAAAGTATTAATTCAAAAACCTTGAAATATTTAGATATCTAACAAAATATGTGCATGACCATATACTAGAAAATTAAAATTAAAAAATGAAGGAATCTTATATAATAAAAGCCTAATATGCAAATCGACCGAACGGTGGAACACTGATGGAACGACTGGTCGCTATGACGGGCACCGACCACCAGAAGGAAGACACCTAACACAGGAGCTGCCGCAGCCTGCAGGCCCCAGGCCAGCCATGGCGGGTGCCAACGGGGGCTCCTACGAGAGCCCCACAGGTCACCCTGCAGAGGGAGGCAACCAGCGACAGTGGCAGGGCTGGCTGGTGGGCCATGGTAGCAGGAGGCAGGGCCGGCAAGAAAGCAGCACCAGGCTGGCCAAAGTGGGTGCCAGCAGGGGGCCCCCAATCACCCCCCTGGTCACCCCACAGGTTGACCCTGATCGCAGCCAGGATTAGGGGCCCTACCTATGCAAAAATTTTGTGCATCAGGCCTCTAGTATCTAAATAAATGGAGTGATAGACTGTGTTCATGGGTTAGATTATTAAATGTTATCACAATGTTTATTCTTCCTAAAAGATCTACAGATTTATCACAATCCCACCAATCAAAATATTGACAGGATTTACTGCTGATATCAACATGTTAAAAAAAAATATATATGAAAAGGCAAAATTATGAATATAGCCAAAACAATAAAAACATAGCTGAAGAACCCATATTACATATCTACTTACAGTGGTCAACATAGTGAGGCACTGGTAGTAGAATGAACATATAAATCAATGAGAAAAATAGAACACTCCAAAGAAGACCACACACACACACACACACACACACACACACACACACACACACACACGGCCAATTGATTTCTGACAAAGTTGTAATGGCAATTCAATGTAGAAAGACTAGTTTTTTTTTAACAAATGGTTCTGGAACAATAGGACATTCAAATGCAATTAAAACAAAAAAGAAAACTGAGCCTTAAACCTATGACTCATAACATATAAAAATGGTTACATCTACCAGGATAAATCATAGACTTAACTATAAAACTTACAAACATAAAATTTCTGGAAGAAACCCTTTGCAATATTGAGTTAGGCAAAGTTTTTTTTTTTTTAGATATAACGCCAAAAAAGTTATTCCTAAAAGAAAAATTGATATGTTTGACTTCCTCAAAATTAAATAATAAATAAGTACTTAAAATAATTTTAAAATATTAGGTCTAGTAATAATTAATGTCGTTTTAAAATACTTTTTAAAATCGAATTTATTTAAACAATACAACAAAATTTAATCAACAATATAGTTGCCGTTGTTTTCTACTACTTGCGCCCAACGCTCAGGAAGCATTTTAATCCCTCTGTTGTAAAATTCTTGTGATTTTGATGCAAAAAATTCGGTCAATGCATTTTTGAGGCATTCTTCATCATTAAATTTTTTTCCAAGAAGAAAGTTTTGCAAAGAACGAAACAAATGGTAATCAGAAGGGGCAATATCAGGAGAATATGCAGGTTGAGGGAGAACTTCCCATTCCAACTGGCGCAGTTTTCCAGCAGTGATTCTTGCAGTATGCGGTCGTGCGTTATCGTGGTGAAGAATTACGCCCTTCTGATTAATCAGCGCGGGTTCTTTTTCTCTTAAAGCTTGGGCTAACCTTTCCAATTGGGCACTATACACTGCACTTGTAATGGTTTGGTTAGATGGTAAAAGTTCATCATGAAGAATTCCTTTAAAATTCCACCAAACACACAACGTCACTTTTTTCGCATGCAAGTCAGGTTTTGGCGTGGGCTGCGGAGCCTCATTTTTGTCCAACCATTGAGGCCGCCTTTTCAAATTAACATACAGCGCCCATTTTTCATCTCCGGTAACAATTTACTCTAAAAACGGCAAACGGTTTTGACGAGAGGAGCGAACTGCAAATTGTGACTCTTTGATTACGGTTGTTGTCGGTCAACTCATGAGGAACCCATTTTCCAAACTTTTGGACTTTGCCAAGTGCACGCAATTGATTGGAAATTGTTTTTTGTGAACAATTTAAAGTTGTCGCAAGCTCTTGTTGGGTAATTTGAGGATTTTGCACCAAAAGAGCTTGAAGAGCTTCTTGATCAAAATTGGACACACGGCCTCGACCACTCTTGTCATCTAACGAAAAATTTCCCTCGCGAAATTTCTCAAACCAACGCTGGCATTTTCTGGTGCTAACTGCATCTTGACCAAGAGCACTACAGATG